GGGGGAGCTTCGTCTCTTTTTCCCCCCTTGAAAGCGGCAGGGATGCACAGAGGATTAATGTACTCTGGGCGGGCCGGGCGGGTCGTTCGGTTCGGAAACTCGCGTCTTCTGCGACAGAGGCGCGAACGAACGTGGCAGGTCGCGACCGTCTCTATAAAGGTAATTTCGAAAGAAGAGGAACTATTCTTCTTCGGACGTAAGGTAAAGTGAAGGTGAGGACACGGCGGCGGCGAGCGCAAACCCGTCGTCGTCGGGCGGACACACTCACACACACACTTCTTTTCAAACTTTTCTTCTCGAGGGTCGGAGACCCCGGTCGATTTTTCTTTTGTCTACCTTTTTAATTCCCACTACCTTTAGGGGAGATTCGATTAAAAGTAACTCTTCACTTTTAATCTTTTACCCTTTTCAGGCGAAGAGGTAAGTCTAAATCCCCAGCCCCGATCGCATCCTCAGGAAACAGGCGCGTTTCCCATCCAATCCCTTCAAAGCGAGGGACCGGAGGACTGTCCCGAAAGGGAGGGCCGAACGTCCTGGGAGATGCGTTCTCATCTTCGAGGTGAAGTCGAACGAAATTAGGGCAGATCTCCCCACAAGCGATCATGTGGAACGGTTAACGTTCTGACCTACCGGAGAGGGGAGACTCAAATGTAGGTTCCACTCCCACGAGCGTCTCCCCCCCTTTCCATACAGGTCACGCTATAGCGACATGACCCGGAGTTTTAGTGGGTAGGGGTCACCGGCTAGGCTTTCTTTCGATCCCAACCGAGCCCCACACTCCCTCTGTAAAAGGAGAGGTAGTGCGTAACCGCATTTCTCCTGGGTCAAAAAAAAAAAAAATGGGGGTTGCGGCAACTTCGCCTGAAAAGAGTCGACTTTCGTGTAGAAGACCTCAGTGCGAATCAGGCTCATCGTTTCCGCGATTTTAAAGGCGGGCGACTTTAGCGGGAAATTCCGTTAAAGTGCGCTGTTTACTCGGTAGAGGCGCAAAGCGTGTGGCATTTCTCTCCGTTCCGGCTGCGGTAGCTTCCACTTTGCTGAAGGCTGGTAAGATCGCTGTAGGGTGGATCATCGCTAAGATCGTCCTTCCTTTTCATAGGAGGGCTGTCAGCGTTAAATATTGTGATCCGGGGCATTTCAACTCATTGTGCCCCGTGCACCCGGGAAAGTTGGGTGAGACACACGAGCGGTGTTTCAGGTGTGGAGAAAAGGAACACCGGGCACGAGAGTGCTAGAATGCTGTCTGTTGTGCGCCTTGCGCAGCGGCTGGTCGGGCGACTAATCATTGCCTTGGGAGGCCGTGCTGCGGAGCGCCGCTCAGGAAGGAGAGAATTCACGATTTGAGCCTGACGGAACACACGGAGGGTATAGCAAGGCGGTTTCTTCTTTGCCCGAGCCGAGAACTAACGGCCTATTTCATAGCTCGAGATAGGACGGTGCGAGCTCGGCCTCCAAGAAGCGCACGACTCCAGGCCCGAACGGCGTGCATTATCGGATCCTCGGTAAGTCTGCGGAGGTGATGTGCGCGCGTCTTTCAATGCTCTACGCCACCTGTTACGCAGGGGCGTCGTTTTCGAAGCAGTGGAAGTTGGCGAACCTCGTGCTGCTCGAAAAACCGGGAAGAGACCCGTCGACGCCGGTCGCGTATCGGCCAATTTGCTTTCTCGACGTGGAAGGTAAGTTGTTCGAGCGCGTCATGGCGTCGCTGATAATCTGTCACATGGGAGTGAACGGAGGGAGGAACGACCTCTCTCCGAATCAGTACGGCTTCCGGGCGGGCCTGTCCGCGATTGACGCGCTCGTTCGAGTCCCAAACGAAATAAAGGAAACTCTGCGCCGGGGCGGAGTCGCAATCGCGATTTCCATCCACGTTAAAAACGCGTTCAATTCCGTTCCGTGGTCCGAGATAAGGGACGGACTGACTTCAAAGTCCGTTCCCGACTATCTCGTGGCGCTTATAGGGTCTTTCCTCTCGGAGAGGAAGGTACCTATACGAGAAACCGGGCGGAATGACGGAAACGGCGGACGTTTTCTGCGGCGTGCCCCAGGGGTCGGTCTTCGGACCGCTCCTCTGGATATCGCTTACGACTGCGTCCTTACCCGGACCGTTCTTCCCGAAGGTACCCTGCTCCTCGCGACTGGTCGTGGGTGGGCGGAGGTACGCAAACGCGTAGAATCGGAACTTTTCGCAACAGTGGAGGTCAACCGCGGCATCGGACTGCGGGTGTCTCTGCCGAAAACGGAAGCGTGCGAATTCCACCGTCCGAGGAATCAGCTTCCGAACGAACTGACACTGTCTGGGGGAGTCAGGATCGGAGTGAGGAGGACGCTAAAATACTTGGGGGTCACCTTCGACTCGGATCTCACTTTCGGGCAACACCTCGTGCTCCTCGGACCGAAGATCCGAGCGCATCGTTAGAGCGCCTGATGCCGAACCTGCGGGGTCCGCGGGCAAGGTTCAAACGACAGTCGTCCACTCGGCCCTGTACGGAGTTCCGATCTGGGTCGAGTCGGTTACGGCATCAATCCAACTCCAAAGAGCGTCTCTGAACAAGGTGGCGACGGCGTACAGGGGCGTCGCGGCGGATGAGACTTGCTTTCTGTCTGATCTTGTCGCGACGGAGAGACTTGTTCTCTATCGCGAACGGGGTCGCGGCGGGCCGAAGAGGGCTCGGCTTTGCTGGGAACCTCGCGCTCGAACGGTCGGCGCGCGGCAGGTACGATTCGGCGACGGAAGAAAACGATACGGCGGCAAAATTGTCGTCGCCCTTGGCCCCCGAGTGGGGGACTGGGGGGAGCGGGGTACACGGAGTCTTGACCTATTTTTTCGCTCCTTCTAGGTCCTCACGGGTGTTCGACTCGTTCATGGCGCCCATCGGCAGAGAGGAGACGAAGAAGTGTTGGTTCTGCGGTGCGGCCGAGGACGACGTTGAGCACCCCATCGCGGAATGTCCCACATGGGATGAACACAGGCAGCGGCTCGTCGGAGTCATTGGACCCGACCTGTCGATCCGCGGCTTTGTGGACGCGTTGCTTCGCGGCCCCTGGGAATGTTCCGCGATTTTGCGATTTTCGAAACCGGTCCTGCGTGCGAAAGAGGACCGCGAGCGCGAACACGAAAAGTTTGGAGTTCGTCGTCGTATGCTTCGCGCAAGTAGAGTTAGAGTTAGGGGTAAGAGAAAGAAAGATCTGATGAGTAGGGTGAGGAAGAAGAAGAGGAGGAGGAAGAAGGAACAGTGCCTGACCTTCGTCATCGGCCAAGGGCGAGAAAACGTCGTCGTCAAAAGGAGGAGGAAGACAAGGAAGACGACGTCGAGCTTCCCGTCCCCCATTTCCCCCCTGCGAAGGACCGGAGGGCACTCCCGAAAGGGACTGCCGAACGTCCTGGGAGATACGTCCTCATCTTCAAGGTGACGACGAAACGGAGATTAGGGCGGATCTCCCCGAAAGAGAATCGTGTGGAACGGTTAACGTTCTGGCTTACCGGAGAGGGGAGACTGAAATGTAGGTTCTACTCACACGAGCGTCTCCCCCCCTCTTCATATAAACCACGCTATTGCAACATGCCCAGGAGTTTAGGCTTTTCTTCAAATTCATACCGAGTCCCACACTCCCTCTTCAGAGGGGTAAGTGCCTAACTGCATTTCTCCTGGGTCAAAAAAAAAAAAAAAAAGATGGCGCCAGTTATACAAATTAATCTCAACTATTGTAGAGGGGCGTAAGGTCTCCTCTTGCAAGTGATGGAGAATGGGGGCTTTGATATCGCAATGATTTCGGGTCAGACTCTGAGAGCCAGGGTGCTGTTCAGGGGGGATGGCTTCGTTATGGCGAGTTGGAGACGCGTTGCTGATGTCGGTGTACGCGTCACCCACACGCCCGATAACGGATTTTGAAGCCCTCTTGCGGGACATGTCGCGTGAAGTCGGCTTGCTCAGGAAGAATGAGCGACCCGTTATCATCTGCGGAGATTTTAACGCTAAGCACGCCTCGTGGTCGGGACCTGAAGGCATACACCGAAAGGAGCCGAAGTACTGATGGACAAACGAAATAGTGGAGGAGTGGGGGTAGGCGAATTTCGCTCGCCGCCAGTTTGCAAACCGGAAGAGGTATCTCCTCCATTGTGGTGAAGACTTGGTGATTATGTCAGACTCGATTTTGCTCTCATATAAGGCGGAGCGGCGGGTTGCGCGGCCCGGGTGCGCCGAGCAATATGGAGCTCTAAAAACAATTGTTGAAAGGGGCTCTTGAGGGAGGTGGACTAGGATCCGTGAGGTCTTCCATTCCGCCTGGTAATGATTAAACAACGGGGTTCGTCGAGGCCACTGACGACTAGTAAGCACGGGAAGTTCCTCGATAATGTTATCGCTGAGCTTTTCCCACATGTCGAGCAGTCTGTGTTGCTGACGACTGACTCGGGTGGAAGGGAAGACTCCGAGGAGGTTTCGGTGAGTGAAATCCTAGACCTCCTGGATCCGGCTGTGAAGAAGCGGACGGCTCCGGGCCCGAGCAGGATGCATTACGTGATCCTTGGCAAGTCTGCCAGAGTTATGGGCGCGTGCCTCGCTCGTGGAACGCGCTTCCGCGGAATCTGACTTTAAGGCTGGAGGAAAGCGAGATAAGGGTGGGAGGAGTCTTGAAATACCGAGGGGTGACGTTAGACTCGGGACTCTCTTTCGCGCAACACCTGGCCGCTCTCGACTCTAAACTCCGGGCGACCAGCGCGTCCTTTGGAAGACTAATGCCCAATCTCCTGGGCCCAGGATAGTTACTAGGAAGCTCTATGTAACGGTGGTCTACTCCATAGCCTGTACGGGGCTCCGATGTGGGCCGAAGCCGTTTCCGGGTCTATACCCCTCAGGCGGAGAGCAATTCAGCTCCAACGGGCCTCTCTGAATAGGATGGTAATGGCCTATACGGACGTTGCCGCGGATGCTGCTTGCGTTCTGTCGAGGACCCCTCCCCTAGATTTTCTTGCGTTGGAAAGACTGATTCTCTACGGTGAGGGACGCATTTCGTTAAGTTGTACGGGAAAAAGTCTTCCAGACTTGGCGGATGTGGCTCGAAGAAGGCCGGAAACTTTACGGGGGAAAATCGTCTGCTTGCTGGGTTCGCGGTTACCTGATTGGGTAGGGCGTGAGCATGAAGCGTTGTCCTTTCGGCTCACGCAAATATTAACGGAACACGGTGTCTTTGGCTCGTACCTTGCGCGCATTGACAAAGAACAAACAGCGGAGTGTTGATTCTGCGGTGTGCTTGAGGACGATGTCGGTAACACACTTTCGGAATGCCCGATGTGGGCCGATGAAAGGCGACGCTGCGTTCAAGTTATTGGGGGGATCTCACCATCAGGGGACTGGTGGAGAGTCTCCTTTGCGGTCCCAGGGAGTGGTCCGGGATTTTGCGGTTGCGGAAACGGTTATCGGAGGAAGGAGAACCGTGAACGTGAGCGTGAGATACTCGGGATCCGCCACCTACAATCGGGTAAGCGGCGACAAATGAAATGCGAATAAATGAATGAATGAATTAGTGATGAATGAATGAACGAGTGAATTTTTTTTTTTTTTTGTACATCATTAAATATCATTATATGCAAACAATGTAAAGAGTGAAGCCGGACCGAAAGAAATATTCGGAAAGGTTTCACTCTAAAATGGCTATTGTATTAATGTACTTTTATGTATGTATTTGTGTATTGTATTGATGGGGGTATCCCAATTGGGTGGAGCAGATTTGCTCCCACCATCGCGAGTGTGGATCTGATCATTCTGGCTTTGCGGGGGGGTTGACGCTAAAATGCGGGTCTTACTCCTGCGACCGCTCCTCCTCCCCGGGAAAAAAAGCGCAGTGAAGCACATCCAGGAGTTTTCGTTGGGTAGTGGCTTCGACTGAGTCCCACACTCTCCCTGCCATCGGGTGGGGAAATTAATACGAAATGCATTTCTCCTGGGTTAAAAAAAAAAAAAAAAGAAAACGTTTTAAATTTCTTTTCTAATCAAAAATTGCATTTTTTTTTTTTTTTTTTCAAATTTTTGGATTCCTACTAAAAAAAAAATTTATTTCATTTTATATACATAATAAATATATCAATAAAATATATTATTTAAACATAAAAAATTTATAATTAAATTTCACCCAGAGCTGCTTGCTTTTCAAAATCACTGAGTAAATTTTGCTTCTTTTTCGAAGCTTCCAAATGAAGTTTTCTGTACAGATTTTCCGGATGAAAATTAGACAAATCGATTGTCTTGTAATGAGAATAAAAAATTAATTCCATAATAGCCCGTCCGATGGCTGGTCCATACAGTAACCCTTGATTTGTAAATCCTAAAGCAAAATATAACCTTGAATCTAAAGGATGAGGTCCGATCATTCCCAGTTGATTTGCACTGTTTGTGTCATATGAATCTATCCACCCATGCCTTAGCTCTAAATCTTTAAATCCATCTATTCTATTTGTCAAAAAAGGTTTTATTTTGTTCTCGAAAACTGCATATAGACCACTTTCTTCATTACTTTTATTTTCAATGGATGAAACACCAGCCACATATAGACCATTCAATCCTTCTCTTCTAAAATAAACTCCTTCAGGATCAAAAATAATAGGGCAGTCAAGTCCTGGTCCATTCGGGTTGTAAAAACAATATTCATAACGTTTTCTCTCTTCCAAAGGATACCTTATTTTTAGGTGCATAAATTCTAATTCATTTAAAACATCTATCAAATTTTTAGATCCAGTCCCATTAGCTAAAACACAAATTCCATATTGTATTGAATTATAACTGTTATCTGGTAATTTACATATAACTCTGTCAAGGATCTCATATTTTTTTCCAAAGTCGCATACTTCAGCTGTAACAAATTTTACACCCAAGTTTATCAATTTACACTTCATTCCTTTTAAAACTAACCAAGGATCAAACAATCCCTCGTAAATATTTTTCGAAATCCCAAATAAAATATTTTCTGTATTTAACCAAGGAAACTTTTGTTTCATTATGTTTGCACTCAAAAAATTTGATTCAATATTATGCATTTTTAATGTGTCACAAGTTTGAAGTATTTTTTTAGAATTTTCATTATTAGCTAAAAGAAGAGATCCGATTGGTTCGAAAGGAATTTTAAAACCTTCATGACTAGGCATAATGGTATGCCTTTCGAAAGAAGTCAAAAATTCCACACAATATTTAGACATAAGCAATTCTTCTTCTTCTTCAAATTGGCACTGACTTAAAGTTCCAACACCTAAATTAGCAGCATTCAAAGGAGCTTCCTCATTTTTATCAACAACAACAATGTCAATATTATTCGGAAATTCTTGTTTTAATGCATAAGCAATTGACAGTCCAATTATTCCACCCCCAACCACGACAATATCAGTTTCCCTAGGAAAATAATCATCTTCCAATTCACCTAATTTGATACCTGATAATTTGTTTACAGCTCTCTTATATTCTAATTTAAAGCTGTTGGCAAATATTTGAGTTATTTTTTCAGCTGGACTATTATAAGGATACAAATGATCTCCTGTTTTTAATCTATGTAGAATATTGTCAATTTCCTCAGGTGAATACTCTTTTAAGCTAGTATTTGATTTTTTAAGGTTCTCTTCTTTAATTATTTCCTTTTCTTTTGAGGTATCACCATCTTTCCCATCATTAATTTTACATTGTGATGAAGATGCACTAATAATAATATTTCTTCTGCAATTTTCAAAAAGTTTATTACATCTCAAATTTTTGTAAAGATGATAGCCCACTGTTTGCAAATGCATCATTACTGTAATATTTTATTCTTTATTTCCTAAGATACATTATATTTTATTTTATTTTTTTAATTTCAAATTTTTGAACTTGTATTACTATTTAAATAAAATATATATTTTTCATAATAATTATTAACGAACGAATAGTATATAAACAAGCAGTTATTAATTAGTAACTAAATTTTAATGATTTATTTTCATTTTTTATATTCGTCACGAAAGAATTAATACTTAAAAATAAGTTAATAACTATTTAAATAAAACTGTTATAAATAATATACTGCAAATTTCTTTTAAACAATTAAAAACATTTTTAAAGTTTACGACTGAAATTAAAAAATCGCAGATTAATATTTAAAGTTCTTGTGTAAAACCTATTGAACAGCAGAAGACATATATTTTTTTATAATATTCTACATCCACGTTTGGCCTTTATTTAGTTAATTTTTTTTTCACTAGTACTTTTTTCACCCCGCCGTAATAGTCTAATGTCAAAATGGCGGCTACAAGGAGGTTGCAAAAGGTAATTTTTAAAGTTTTACTTATTCTATACAGTCTTTATATAAGATTTTAAAAAAAAAAATACATTTTTTAAAATTTTTTAAAACGGCTTTTTTTTTTCTAAATTTAAAAATTATATATTTTTACGTTGTTTTTTTTTACATAATATTGTGTGCACATCCATAAAAGGTGCATGAATCAGAAAAATAAGAGCATTATATTAAAAATTATTTGATAATCATTATAGGAACTTGGTGATATTCGTATGTCTGGCTTAAAAGCATTTAGGGATATTCAAGTGGATGAAAGCAATATGCTTACATGGCAGGGACTCATTGTGCCGGTAATTATTTAATATAAAAATTTAAAAAAATTTTCTTTAAAAAGTCAAAATTCCTATTCTATTTAAATATCTAGTACATATTGACATATTTAAACATTTAAAATATACATATTCTCTTTAAATTTAATAAACAAGGTTAATTTACCTAAGTCACTAAAAATTAACAAATATATATACAATTTTGCTAATATTTTTTTTTTTTTTTGCTGAAAAATACTTCTTTGTTTTTATTGACTACTAAGCATTAAAGTTTCAAAAGAAAAACTATTAAAGTATTAAATCATTCCCTATAATTTTCTTAATTTTTTTTTTTTTTTTTTTGTAGGATAATCCTCCTTACAATAAAGGTGCCTTTAGAATAGAAATAAATTTTCCAGCTGAATATCCATTTAAACCACCAAAAATTAATTTTAAAACAAAAATATATCATCCAAATATCGATGAAAAAGGTCAAGTTTGCCTCCCTATAATATTAGCAGAAAATTGGAAACCAGCTACAAAAACAGATCAAGGTAACTAACTGAATATATATTTATTTATTTTTATCTTTTGTGAGTAAATTTTTTAACAATCAAAAAGTGAAATGCATTAAATGCAGTTTTATTTGTAATCATGTTATTTTAAGTAGTGATATTCATATATATAAATGTAAAGATAACATTAAGTTATTTATATACATAACTAATATTAAATGTTTTTTTTGTTCCTTCGACTAAACATAATTTTAAAAATATTTTTTTTTATTTCAGTTATTCAAGCTTTAGTAGCTTTAGTAAATGACCCAGAGCCAGAACATCCACTTCGTACAGAATTAGCAGAAGAATTTTTAAAAGACAGAAAAAAATTTATAAAAAATGCAGAAGAATTTACTAAAAAGCATAGTGAAAAACGGCCATCATTCTCTGATTAATCTTTCGCTCACCCTTCAGAATTTTTTCATATCTCTATTTCACATGTTCAGTCATATACTCATTTATCTATATTACCATTTCAATATTATCATTTATAATTTTTTTGTTTTTTTTTAGTTGAAAAATGTTTTGCATCAGGCAGTAATTTCAAAGTGCCACCATTTAAAGAACTATAGTATTATTTCAAAATTTATTTAAATATAAATGATTTATAAAAAAAATATATATGTGTATTTATTTAAATTAACGTATTCCTTGTACCTTAGTTAAACCTTAATTTTTTTAAGAGTTATCATTTAAAGTAAGTGCAATTACAAATTATTTTTTTAAAAAAATTGTTTAAAATGCAGGCGGTAAATACGTAGCAAAGGTAAAAAATTATTTAGTAATTAAAATTATAATTAAAGTCCCTAGTGAAGTAATCAAGGTCATATGGAATTTTTTATATTTTAAAAAAACCAAGAATTCTATATGAAAAAAAGTAAATGATTTTGTAATATTTCATAATTCAATTTTATGTAATAATACTTGATATTAATTTGTTTCACGCGAAGAAAAAAAGAGGAAATTAAAAATTAACACAAAAATTTATTTAACAGAAATCATTTAAAATTTTAAATAAAAATAATTAAAATTTATATTTTTTTAAAATCTCCATACATTTTACATAAGAATGTAGGTCTATTAGTTTTTCTCACGCTTGTAACGAATGTAAAAATGGCGGCTACCAGAAGGCTACAAAAAGTAATGACAGTTAAATAATATTGACATTTTTTTTTTTTTTTTTTTTTTAAATTTATACTCGTACAAAAAAAATTATTTTTATTTTAAATCGGTAAAAAAAAAAAAAAAAAAAAAATTTATTTATTATAGGAACTGGGAGATATACGGTCATCAGGAATCAAAGCCTTCAGGGATATTCAAGTCGATGAAACTAATATGCTTACTTGGCAGGGGCTAATTGTGCCCGTAAGAATTTCCCTTATTTTAACATACGCTTTAAATTGTTTGCAATGACATTTAAACAAAAATATCAAAAGTTTCCAAAAAATTTTAGGATAATCCTCCTTACAATAAAGGTGCCTTTAGAATTGAAATAAATTTTCCTGCTGAATATCCATTTAAACCCCCAAAAATTAATTTCAAAACAAAAATATATCATCCAAATATCGATGAAAAAGGACAAGTATGTTTACCAATTATTTTTGCTGAAAATTGGAAGCCAGCTACTAAAACTGATCAAGGTATAAAGATTTATTTAAAATGATATGTTTCAATATACCCCTGAGTAATTTTTCTATTTACAATAAGCATTTATAATTAAATCAGTATTTACAACAGTTTTTTTCGCTAAATTTTTCAGTTATTCAAGCATTAGTCGCATTGGTTAATGACCCAGAACCAGAACATCCACTTCGAACTGAATTAGCTGAAGAATTTTTAAAAGATAAAAAAAAATTCATTAAAAATGCTGAAGAATTTACTAAAAAGCATAGTGAAAAACGGCCATCATTTTCAGATTAATAATATTTATTAAAAATCACCATGAAATTCACTTAATCACAGGTAAATTATTTCTTATTATTTAATTTAAATGTTTAAACACTTTTCAACGATTTCTAATTTCTTCCGAAAAACCTAAACTTGTGTAAATTATTGTAATTTTATTTATATTGTATATAATCATTTTAAATTTTATTTGAAAAAAATTTTTATTGTAATTTATTATTATAAAGAAAATATTATATTTTTGTACAAACTTTTTTATTATATATTATTAATTTATAATTGTTTTTTTTATGTAATATTTATTGTAAAAAAAAAATTTACAAATACAATTTGCATTCTCTAACTGCCTCAAATTTATTTACTAAATATAAAAAGTTATAAAGGAAAAATGAAGAGTCGATTAAATTTTAACAATTTTATATTTCCATTTCAAGAAACCAAACAAATATATTTAAAAAAAAAAAAAAAGATAAATACACTAATTTAAGAATTTTATTTTATTTTTTTTTTTTGAATTTACTAACTCATTGCCACAAGAGATTTAGTAATGTTAAAGGCGGCATTCCAGGTCCAGCTCCCTGAGAAAATCCTAAAAATTTAAATAAAAAAAAAAACTCATGTAATTCACCTTCATTAAAGAAATATCAATTTAAAATTATAATACGACTAATACAAAAATAATAAACTTTATTTAAAAGTTAACCTAAATATAATATTGTCGGCATAAATGCAATGTGAAAGACTCCTTTAATCACACCTAAAACCATAGCAATTCTTCCTTTTAAACCAACGTCCAACCCCATTTTTTAATACTATTCAACACAAAATCGTTTAAATATGATAAATAATATATATATTTTTTTGTTGTTGTAAATATCAGATTCTTATTTCACTGTCTTTTATTATTCCAGGCGGAATCAATTTTATTTACGATTATTATTCAAATAATAGGTATAGCGGAGGCTTTGCAATGGGAGGAAACAAAACGATTTGCAAAATTACGACAAAACGAATTTCCTTTTACCCGCAATAAATAAATTTCCTCATTGTTTTCCTTCATTTAATTGCCGAATCATTAACGGTTAGAAAATGATGAAATTAATTAATAAAGTTTCAAATACTTTAACAAAAAAATTACGTCTAACTATAATAATACATAAATAAATTTCATATTTTTAAATTAATCGATTTGACTCTAATTATCATTTCATTTTCAAAGAATAATAATAATAACGAAAGTAACGAAAATTTTAATATAAAAACAATTGATTAATTAATTATTTATTTATTTACTTATTTATTTTTTACATGAAATACCTCAATATATTAAAATCCATTAATTTATTTATACAAAAAAACCCCCAACAACAATTTCTGTAAAGCACATAACGAAAAAAAAAAAAAAAAATTCACAACTTTCCTCATCATTTTCTTTTCCTATGTGTGTGTGTGTTTTCATCATCATCATCATCATCATTATTATTATTATTTTATTTAAAAGAAAAAAATTATATTTAATTTTACCGACAAAATTTTTTAATTAATCAGACTTTTTATTATATATGACGTAACACTATTTATTTATAGACTTAATACTTTGATTGAAAATTTTTTTAAATTAATTAATTAATTAAACAAGGAAGAACATTTTTTTGTTTACCGCCAAAAATAATGATAATAATAATAATAATAATAATAATAATAATAAAATTTTTAAATGTATTCCTTCATAAAAATTACTTATTTTTTTATTTTTTAAATATTATATAAATAATATTTTAAGGAAGCTCTTATAAATTTTATTTTTTTAAATTTCCAAAATTAATAATAATAATAATAATAATGATTAAAATAAATAAATAAAAAAAATAATAAACATTATTAATCTTTATAAAAAAAAAATTTCTTTTAAACATATATATATATATATATTATTATGAAAAAGTCAAAAAAAAAAAAATACTGTAAGTGACCGAATTAATAATAATAATAATAAAATACTTTAAAAAAAAAAAAAATTTTTTTTATCATTTTGCCGGTTACCTCAACGTACTACCTCATTAATAAATAAATAATAATAATAATAATAAACAAATTCATTTAATGTCTTTCAACGGGGAAACCAAAAAAAAATAAAAAATAAATAATAATAATAATAATAATAAAATGTATGTATATATAATATTAAGAAAAACATCATCATCATCATTATTTGACATTTTATATATTTATTAATGGAGTCTGAATACTTTTTAATCACAATTTTTTTTTTTTAAATAAAAATAATTTTATTTATTTATTTATTTATTATTATTATTATTTATGCCACAATATGAGATTATTAAACCTACTTATCAAAAAAAAACGTTCGAAAAAAAAAAAAATTTGATTTATTTATTATTATATCACATTAATATTATTCGTTATCGACTCTTTTCTTATCCCCGCCCCCTTCCCTCCCCCTTATCCCTTACTCCTCCTCCTCCTCTTTCTATATTTTACTGTACAAATTTCTTTTTTTTTTTTAACTTTTTTATTAATTAACTTTTCATTATTATTATTATTTTTTAAAAGAATAAACTGTAAATAAAAAAAAAAAAAAAAATTGCACGCAATGTATAAATACATACATACATATATGTACATATATATGTAAGTGTAATAATCAAAAATTAAATGAGGTAAGTCAAACTGAAAGAGTACTACTATTATTATCATTTTTTTTTTTTTTTTTTATACTCGACTTGTAATTTACAAGTGTCTGAAATTAAAAAAAAAAAAAGAAAGAAAAAATAGTAATAATAATAATAATAATAACAATGATCGGGATAATGTAATAGTAATAATAATAATAATAATAATATTTCGCGTAGTTCACCAAACAATAGCGTCGTAATAAAAAAAAAAAAAAAAAAGTTATGATTAGGCCGCCGAAAAAAAAAAAAAAAAAAAAAAAAAGGCACCCAAAAAATTCTTTCAGCTTTCTTCCAGCTCGATATAAATAAATTTTTTTTTTTTTTTTTTTTTTTTTTTTTTTGTAAAGAATGGCCAGCATTCCCCTCATAAATCGAATGCACTAAAACTGAAAAACCCAACTTTCATCATCATCATCATCATCATCATCATCATTATGGTGGTGATTTGGTATAAACCTAAACCGTTAGTATTGATAAGAGGAAAAATCAAAAGATATTCGGACACATCGACCAATCGTTTTTCGCTTTCGCTTCCCAATATTTTCCCGTGTACACGTGTGCCAATGATCCCGTTATCGGATCTTCTTCTTTTCTAAACCAAAGGGGTTGATAAACGGGATAAGGTTGACCTAAAAAACGAAAGGGTCGAGTAAGTATATCGGAAAACTCACCGATTCCGTTCAAATCAATCAATTTTTTTTTTTTTTTTTTCTTTCTTTCTTTCCACTCACCTTTGTTCGCAGCTTCTTCGGCTTCTTCTTCTCTCTTCCTCCTCGTTTCCCTTTGTTTTTCTTCTAATCTTACTTTTTGAGCGTTTGCTCCATCCCAGTCTCCCTTTTCCATTAATCTCTGATCGGGACGTAATCTTGAATCCGTCGGTGCGACTCCCGGTTCGGGTTCGTTCAACTGACAAGCAAACTCTGTGAAATTGTAATACTTTTCCGAATCGGGACTGAAATAAAATCAACGTTAAACTTTTTTTCCTCCCTCCCCCCTCCCCCCCACGGGGGGGGTCGAAAAGACAAACAAACAAGTGTAATAATTACGGTGGCATTTTTCTTTCCCACGCCAATATGTAGGGTCCTGTTTTAACAACGGCACAATTGTTACTCGCTGATATGACGGGTGCTATTTCAATTTTATTATCCCATTCGCCGTTTACTACCCATTTCATGTTTCCTTTTTTATCCATGACACACCCATTTACCTTTCATTTCATAGAAAGAGAAAACAAAATTTATAAAACATGGCGACGCACGATATCCCCCGGCCTCCCCCCCAACAATTAAACACAAAACTCACTTTTCTTTGAGTATCTTTACTAAAGTAACTATACGGTAAGTATTTCAAATGGCATTTATCACCAGTCGTGTGATTTATTATATCCGCGTCTCCGTGTTGATCTACCCATAGTTTACCAACAATGAAATTATGTACGGTCGTCGTAACCTTTTTCCAAGTATAATGATTTTCTACAAAAAAAACAAAATGTCGATAAAAAAAAAACTTTTCACGTACAAATTATATTCCAAAAAAGAAAAAACGGAAAACTCACTCGAGTTGGTAAAAGTTAAGTGGGCGGTACCTAATGGAATAACTTGTAAGTACTTTCCACGAAATTTGGAAGCCATTGTAAATTCTTGCCAACATCTCCATAATTTACCCTCGCAATATTGTGCCAACATGGGTGGATGATGTGATACCTTTGCAAACAATCAATCAATCAATCAGTCAATCAATCGACGTCGTTTTTTTGTTTTTTTTTTTTTGTTACCTGTTCCGATATGGCTTTCCATCCCAAATCGTCAGTTCTATCGCATTCGTAAGTTTCACCCAAAAGAGGATTGAAAGGTTTCCCCGTTCTATTAGCCGTGTTGGCATAACTAGATACCGTGAAAGCTGCTATGTACGCTAATTGCTCCCAATCGTTGCATGTCGCAGCCTGTAGGTATAAAACAACAACATCAAAAGTAACAATTCAACCCCTTTTCAAAAAAAGGCAAAACGCAAAAACGCAATACCTTATCTAGTACGTATGCATATTCGTAATCTTCCGTCAACCTTTGCAACATTGATAAAGGTTCGGAAAAATTAACGGGCATGGGTATTTTACTAAGTTCTTTCCCTATGCAATTTTTCATTATCGACCATAAATTCAATGGATAATTTGGCTTGTCCGGTACTCTGGTTCTTCTTTTCTTACTCGAAGTGGTCGGAGGAGCGATCGCTCCCTTCGACGTCTTGAAAAAAAAAAAAAAAAAAAAAAAAAAAATAGAAAAAATGGAAAAATTTTTTTCTCAGTGACGTCACAACACCAATCGCGTAAAAAAAAAAAAAAAAATTTAATATTATTTACAAAAGAGCCCAAAACATTTAAAAATTTTTCTTTTTTCTTTTCGTAAAAACTTACTCCGGAAGAACTCGGCTGGCCCGGAGGACCGATGACGGTCATTGTTTTCGTCGTCGTCGTTCCCTCACCGTCGGAACTCGAACCGGAAGCACCCCCCTAAAAATCACAAGCAGACGAAAAAAAAAACAAATCAATAAATCAATAAATAAATAAATAAATAAAATTAATGAAATCGCGATTCCCTTACTTGATTCATTATTGAAAAAAAATTTAACAAAGTCGTACAAATTTTTCTTATCATACGATTCGTAATGAGTTTTTTTTTTTTTTATATATAAAAATATTATTATTATTATTATTATTATTATTATAAATATTTATTAGTTTTTATTCTAGAATGACCTTGATGAAAAATTTTCATATTTAATTATGAAAAAAAAAAAAAAAAAAAAAAAAAAATTACGTAAATTCTTTTTCTGTTAAACGAGATGAACATCTTTTTTCAAACACGTTTACAACACGGTTTATTATTGTTGTTATTATTATTATTATCGATAGAGACCGAACAACAATTTTTTCATTTAATTCCAATGAATGAATCAAATATTTGAACCTGGGTACCTTTTCATCGGCCATATTGAGTACGCTAATAAAGAACTCGTTTCATCTCGTCTTACGTAAATTAATTTAAAACGGTTTTTTTTTTTTTTTTTTTCTTTTTAAAACAATCCCTTTCCCTTTTGAAAATATTTACAAAAAATTTGGAACCATTTTTAAAAAGGATTTCCAAGCAGACGACGCGATTTAATTTAAATTTAATACTTTGCTTTTTTTTTTTTTTTTTTTTTTTTTTTGTTGTTGTCGCGCGCAAGAAAATCGAGAACGGGGGGAAAGAGACAAAAAAAAAAAAAATTTCACGAAATCGCACACTTTTCCTTTTCGATTCACGAATAATTGATTTCGATAATAATAATAATAATAGTAGTTGTAGTTGTAGTACCTGAGAATCCTGACTAATTCCAGAAGACGTCCTTCTATGACCGATTGGAATTTTCAATATGAAATCATTTTTTTCACCATCTTCGTCGCCCTCGCAATTGGCATCGTAAAATTCATTCCCATCATCTTCGTCCGAAGGGGAAGCCGCTAAAAAACCAATTTTTTTTTTTTTTTTTTTTTACATTCGATAAACAAAGAAATTTCCATTTTCCCCCCCCCCCCCCCCCCCCCCTAATAAAGAAAAAAGTTTTTTTTTTTTTTTTTTTTTTTTTACTCACCATCTTTACTTTGCCTCGGCAAGCGATGATCCTTCGCAGCTTGTTCTAAATTAGAATGTTGTCTCGCCAATTGCTCAACCATTTCTTCTAGTCTTTGTCTTTGATCTCTTTCATGTTGCAACATTTTTTGCCATTTTTTACCTTGGCTTTGAGCTAAATCTAAATATTCGGAACAGGCCTAAACGAAAGAAAAAAAAAAAAAAATTCCGGTTCACTCGTCGTGTAATCAGTCCATTGCAAAAATAAATAAAAAACTAAACAACAACAACCACAACAACAACAACAACAACAAACAACAACAACAAAAGCAAGAGAGAGAGAGAGAAAAAAGAATTTGATCGTTGCCCAAAATCATTAAAAAAATATTTAAAATTAGATTTGACACGTTACAAACAATTTTTTTTTTTTTTTTCTGTTGATACGGTTCGAATTCAAATTTGCAACAACAATTTTTTTTTTTTTTTTTCAATCTCTAAAAATTTCCAAATGATCATCATCATCATCATCATCATCATGAAACCCTCATTAGCGTACTCGCATAAACGTTCGTTTTTCTCCTTATCAGACGGGGGGGCGGGGACGTGGGCCATAAAGGTATTATATCGGTCTGAAATTCTATTTTTGTTCATTTAAAAAAAAACGATTGACCTTCGTTAAATTTTAAAAATTATTTTGAAGCCGTGAATTTGAATTTTCTTTTTTTTTTTTTTTTATTGATCAATAAAATTTAATTAACGTCGTCAAGTAAATTCGACATTGAAAATAATTTTTTTCTCTTAATAAATAAATAAATAAATAAATAATTTTTTTTTAAAGGCAATTTTCTTATGCATTTTACTATCAATGGCGTCTTGATTGTATGGCAGGCAACAAACAACCTTGAAACCTTGTTATCATCTATCGCTAATTATATTTACTACCGGTTTCTTTTTATTTTTTTTTTTTTTTAATTTGTTAACAAAAGATTTTTTTTTTTTTTTTTACAGACTTTTAAAGCAAATTATTTTCTTTTCTTTTCTCGTTTTTCTTTTTATTTAAATTGATGGGTCTACGCGTCAATTAAAGATATAGAAAATGTCGAGTGATAAAAAAAAAAAAAAAATCCACGTGATGACGATAGCACGGATACAAATTATTAATCCGCCATTTTTTTTTTTTAACAATAAAATGTAAAAATAAAAAAAAATTCGTCACTACGTAATTTTGTTAATAATTAATAACAATTATGATAAAAAGGAAAAATGGAAAAAAAGGAGGAAAGAAAAAGGAAAAAAAAATTAATTAATTAAAATAAGTTGCGGTTGGGAATAGTGACGTGAACCGAACTTTGGAGACAATAATTAAAATTTCTTATTTTTTCCTACAAAATTTACCAAAATGGTTATTGAATACCTTACGTAAATAATAATAATAATAATAATAATAATAATAATAATAATAATAATAATAATAATAATAACCACGGTGTAAAACAAACGAGGGACAAATCGAATCGACCTCGAATAAAGGGATTCTTTTCGAAAGAAAACGACGACGACGACGAATATAAAATTTTAATATATTCGAGCAAGAGAGAGAGAGAGAGAGAGAGAGAGAGAGAGAGAGAGAGAGAAACAAACGAATAAAGTAAATATAACCTAAATAAATTAAAAATTGGGTCAAACGAATCCAAAAAAAAATCATTCGGTATTAAAGCATCGCATTTTTTTAAAAAAATATAAAACAAAAGAAAGAAAAAGAAAAGGCAAAAAAAATTTTCGCAAAGGAATTTCACCTTATATATATATATACACACACTTTAAACTAAACAAATTAATGATAATAATAATAATAATTGTAAAAAACAAATTTCTCAACTTTTTAAAACAATCAAAAACTTGTGACAAAACGCAACAACAACAACAAAAAACAAACAAAGAATTTTTTTTGGTTTGAAAAAATTAAAATTAATAAAAACTTTTAACACACACACACACTCGATGAATGCGAACTAAAAAAACAAAACAAACACACACGCAAAACTAGGCAACAAACACGAAAACTATATTGATTTACGAAACTAGAAACAAAGAGAGAGAGAGAAAGAGTTAGTGAGTGAGTGAGAGGGAAAGAGGAAAAAAACATAACAAATCAACAACAACAACAACAAACATACGAGAGTGAGAGAGAGAGAGAGAGCTTGTAAAACAAAACCGAACGATATGACATTTAACATTCAACTGATTCTCATGCGTGAAGAAAAATTTTTTTTTTTTCTATTCAAGAAAGAAACATTAAAAGCTTAAACGACCGACCGACCGACTGAATGACTGAATGAATGACTGACTGACTGACTGACTGACTGACTGACTAACCACCTACTCAAACAAATTTATAATGACCGAGATAAACGACAACAATAAAAAAAAATCGTTTTTTTTCTTTTTCTTTTACCCAAATTAACTTTGGTAAGACCTTTAAAAATCTTTTGAAAAATTAAAAAAAAAATTAAAAACGAAAATAATAATAATAATAATAATAATAATAATAAATTATTCAGGTTAATTTTCTTCTAATTAACGCGTTAATCTCGTTTGATTTTTAATTTTCCGGAAAAACAAAAACCAAAAAAATTAAAAATTAAATTAAAATTTTCATTTTTCTTTCTCTATAATTAATATTAAAATTCCTACCATTATTATTATCATTATTATTATTTTTAAAAGTTTTTGAAAAATATGGTCGTGACCCCCCAACATATGTTTAATTAAAAATTAAATTAAATTGAAACCATTTTATAGAATAATAAAAACATATTCACATGACACAATCGTCTTCCTTATTCCCCCCACTCTTCACCACCCACCACCACCACCACCATCACATACCAGCATTTACAATTATTATTATTATTATTATTATCTCCCCCTTATGAAAAAAAGCGATAATAATAATAATAATAATGACAATAAATAATTTCTTTTTAAAAATTCAAACTCTTTTAACGACACATGAGAAAAAATCCCGGAAAATTCACAATCGTCATCGTCATTCATAAAAGTAGTAATTATTATTATTATTATTATTTGCCCCCGCCCCCCAAAAGGTTTGAAAATTATTTTAAAAAAAAAAAAAAAAAAAAAACTTACGTGTAGCGTAGCATTGGAAGTTATTCTAAATAATGTGGCTCGCTCGTTGACGGCTTTTATTTTCACCGACATGTCTTGGGCCGTATTCAATGATTCCAATTCCGAAAGGGATCTTTGTAATGCGGTTCCATGTTTTTCAATTAATTCGCTGCAAACTTGTAAATTTTTTAATTTTGCGGATAATGTATTTATTGCTTCCATTAATTGGGCTTTGTGATTAGCCGACGACTTCTCGTATTCCTCTTCTTCTTCTTCCGCTAAATTAAAACGTTTTCATCATTAATTATTATTATTATTACCGATAAGGATTTTCTTTTTTTTTTATTCGTGGCATTGCCAAACGCGAAACTTCGCGACCGTTGATATCGATACTGCGGGATTTTTAATTAACATTACTCGTCATGCCAAAAGATATTTATTGCTTTTTTTTTTTAATTCGGTACCTATGGGAGACGGAGGAGGAGGGGGTGGGGTGGGGTGAGGAGTGAAACGAATAAAAAAAAAAAAAAAAAAAAAACCTCCTTACCCGTTTCCATTGACCGAATCGCTCTTGATTTGGCCAATTCTAATGCGGTAACCCATTTTTGACGTTCGACTTCGTTAGCTGCTTTTATGTGGAAGGTACGAGTCGCACCGTTATTTATGACAAAACTACAAGAATCTTCCGTGTGTATTATGGCACTGTGAAGTGAAACTGTCCCCCTACAGGTATGATCCATTTCTGCTTGGTTTCTATAAGTTGAAAAAAAAAAAAAAAAAAAAAAAAAAAAAAAAATTTTTTTTGTATAAACGATCGTATAAATAATTCAAAGAAAGCAATTTAAAAAAAAAAAAAATTCACATACAATCAAATAATAATGATAGTAATAATAATAATAATAAAAATTCAAATGTTTTCCCAAAAAAAAAAAAAAAAAAAAAAAAAAAAACAAACTCAAAAATTCGTTTTTATTTTTTCTACTTCAGTCCTCATTATATTTTTACATGAAACGAATTTTTTTTATTGAATAAAAATAAATAAATAAATAAAATATTATTTGATTAAAGGAAAAAAAATATAAAAATATTTGCTCTAATGTAAGCCTGAATGAAAAAAAAATTATTTTTCTTATTTGAATGAAGAAAAATGGGGGGGGGGGGCGAGGGGGGCCGGGAAAATGACCAAAAAATTCAATGCATGAAACTTGTGCTAAGTTACGTCACACAATTCAAATGAAGCTTTTTGAAGCTTTTTAATATTTAATAACAAAATAAATAATAGATAAGTGATAAAGCGATAAATACGTATAAAAAAAAAAATTAAAGAGTAAAATGAGCGGCGAAAAAATAATTAGATAAATCATTCAATTAGTTAATAAAATAATTATTATTATTATTTTTACGTGGTTTACTTTTTCGTCTCCTTTTTTTTTAAAATGGTGACAAGAAAAAAATTTTATTTAAGAAAACTAAGAAAGAAAGTATTAAAAAAATTTTAGTCACACAATTAAAAAAAAAAAAAAGTATTTAGTGTACACATTTTATTTACCCCAGCATTATTTTGACAAAATAATTTTAAAAAGTTTCCTTTTACAAAAATCATCGTCAAAGGAAAAAAAAATTCATATAAGTAAAACACAATGAAATGTTTTTTTCCCTGGTTTTTTATTCTGAAGGAGAATACCAGAAAGATACATAAAAAATTTTTTTTTTGAATGATAATCTAATCTATTACAATTGTAATTCATCTTAATTTATATCATAGATAATATTCAATTTACCTAACACACAACTAAATAATAATGATAATAATAATAATAATGATAATAAAATCATTTTTATAATGAAAAAAACTTTCTTACTTAGCTAAACAATTTAATTACATAATTGTAGAATAAAATTAAAATACCAAAAAAAATTTGTAAATTAAAATTAGTTTTTTTCCTTTTAATTCAAAACGGGGGAAAAAATTTAAAATAAAAATAAAAAAATAAAAAAAACACTTTTTGCAACACAAAAAAAAAAAGCATTTGAAAAAATTAATAAATATAAGTATTTGAGTATTTCAAGCTGTGAAAGTCTCCAATGAGTAGTCAAAAAAAAAAAAAAAATATATCAAACGCAATGATGAAGCTTTCTATGTATTTCTGTTTTGTTTTGTTTTGAAAGATGAAAATTTTGTTATTTTGATACTCGTAAATATCCCAAAAAAAAAAAAAAAAAGAAAATTTTTTTTTTTGTTTTCCTTTGTGCAAACGTAACCAACACCAATCATTCAATAATTGATGTTAAACTTCCAACATACCTTTTGTGCTTTCTTCTTAGAGACAGTCTAAAGCCTTTTGCATGCTTTTTTTCAACCCTAAAATAAATCTTTATTTTTAATTAGTTGCTTTTTATTTTTATTTTATTTTATTTTTTATTTTTTCATTAGCTTAATAATAATAGTTTTTTTTTTTATAATTTTAATGAATAAGTAATTTTAAAATTATAAGAAACTCAGACAATAATTAAAATTTTTTTTCTAAATAGTTTCTTACAATATTATAATTATAAAAAATATCTTATCTTATGTAATTAAAATAAAACCTCGATAAGCAAACGCAAACAACCATCGACTACGATTAAATTAAAAATTTGCAATTTCACATTTCCCCAAATGATTAATAATAATGATTTTTATTTATAATGGTGATAATTATAAAAAAAAAACAAAACACAAATGAAAAATATTCAAATTGAAAAACAAATATATGTATATGTACACTCCTTCAGGATGATTTCGATACAAAATTTTTTTTTTTCGGCACAATGCACATTAATCGAAAATTTTAAAGCACAATGCACAATGAATTTTATAATTTTCGATAACACTTAAAATATATATACATTAAATGAAAAAACATTCATCATGTGACAACCAACATAAAAAAATCCACACTTATAACAAATACATAATAATGATTTTGCCTTTATAACAAGTATATAAAATGTGCAACTTAAAAGTAAACCCTATAAAAATAAAGTATTTAATTTTATTATTATTTAAATGTAAAATATGAATGAGATACTTTCAAGTGTCTCAGACATATGTTTAACTTAATTTTGTATAACAAAAAAAATTCTAAAAATGATTTGATACTTATAAAAAAGAATTTATCGGTGACATTTTTTAATTTTATGTATAACTTTGGCAACGGTTTTTATTAAGAAACATATTGATGTACAGTGAAATATGTTTAACCTATAAAAAATGATATTATGAATGTAGGTTATTTATATAACTATAAGACAGAAAAGTTTTACAATAATTTATGCAAAATAACATTTTATTATTGAAAAAAAAAAAAAAAATTACATTATTCGTTTTCAAAAACAAATACTTATAACCAGTTTGTTTTCAATATTGTGTACGACACAAATAAAGTACAGTTTCAAATCTAATAAATTACTGTACAAACAAATTTGTTTATATGAAAACAATTAAACAATCAAATAAGCTTCAAAAGCATTTGAATTTTTAAGTAATAAAAAGCTAAAACTTCGCACTAGATAACATTGCAAAACGCATTTAAGAGTACAAACGGTTCAAGGTGACAAATTGAACATTTGAATTTTATTCAATAATAATAACTTAAAAAACTTTTTCAATTAAAAATTAAAAAAACTGTAATTTAAAATCTTTAAAAATTATTTTGAATAAAAAATATATATTTTCAAGCCACAAGCAGTTTATATGGCAACTTTTAGTAAATTTTACTGACCTGTAGTATGACAGCAATCCATTCGAAAGAACAAACCATCGTTTTTGATATCCTTTTAAATAATTAGTCCATTTAAACAACCAACCGTTCATCTCCACCTCGGTAACATTTGCATTATTTTCACTCATACTCTAAACTAGATAATTTAGCCAAAATACATATAAATTTGTTTTCCTTTCAACACGTAACATACGCCATCTTGAATTGTTGATGATAGAGTGAGTTAACAAAAAAAAAAACTTTTAAATTTATTCAATAAATTTTCCTAAAATTTAACGCATTTTTAATTCATAATAAAAATATATATATTTTTTAAATATTAGTTTTATTAAAAACTTTTTGTAATTTTACAAAATAA